CACACACACACACACACACACACACACACACACACACACACACACACTACAGACCCTCAGGTATTGTCTCAGCTCATCGCTTGATCTTTTCTGCAGCTGCAAGCATCCCTGCCCCCAAGGTGTTCAGCTTCAAACACAGAGGTGAAGGAAACTCTTTTGAGTTTTCATGACAAAAGCCTGGGGCTGTTCCAGAATGCAAGCAATCTAGAGTGAAGTCTGCCTTCAGATCACTTTAGGGGAGTGCAAAGAGCAAGAAGTCCCCATGCTGACACACTCAGGAGGTATCTGGATGCTCCAGTGATCAGAGGGGCCTCACTAGCTTCAGGTGGGCACCTCTGCTGTTTGACCACAAACTTCCGGGCTCCTGGAGATGAGGCAGGTTCTGTGCTGGCCTGACTATCATCAGCAGGCCCCTCATCAAACTCACACCCTCAGCGGAATCACTGTTTAGACTTTGGACAGCACAATCCTGAAGGGATCATCTTGCACAGCTAATGGATTTGGCTACCACCAAACAGGGAGCAAGCCCAGGGTTAGGAAAGTCATACCAGAACTGTCTTGAGGTAAGAACTTGGGAATGAGTGAAAGAAACAGAGACTAAGAAGGGGCCACGAGGAGAGGGTACAAAGGATCACCAACAAAGAAACAGGAAGAAACAAGCATAAGGAAGACCTGGTCACAGAGTTCCCCAAACTCAATTTCCAACCCTCAAAGCCATGCCTTTCTACTCAGTGCAGCAGAGAAAATACGGGGACTGAAACTGCAGGGACCAGAGCACTGCGGTGGTTGGACCCATTGCTCATCAGTCCTGGATCTGCCTTCCTCAGGTTTGGGAGCCCAGGGCATGAAAGCTACACCCTCCCCTTTGCCCCCGGCACACCCCTGGTGTTCCTGAGCAGAGCAGGCTCAGTCTCCAAGCTCAGAGCCTGGGATTCGGGTGAAGGGCTGCATTAGTGAGGGAGGGGACTGGAGCAGAGGGAGCAGTCTGTGAAAGCGATTTTATTTCGCAGTTTTAACATGAGCTCATCCCCAGCTGAGGTTTGAAGTGGCGGCAGAAAGCTAGCTGATCACCCATCTCCTGCCACCGGCCGGACTGCAAATGCAATTTAGGCGGTGTACAAAATTGCCAGGAGGAAACCAACTCTGCGGGGATCACGTCAGCAGGCGGGGTCTCCCCAGTGGGGCGGGTACCCCATGCCTCTGATTGAGACCGGTTACAGGTCGAAAATTCACCCCCAAAGAGATGGGCAATTAACATCCACATGCGGGTAAACCCCAGCCCTTAGTTGAAGAAGAGGCTTCTTGAGGTCTTCGTGAATATTTCCTTGGAGTCGAGGATTCCTAAGTGGCTTGGGCATGGGAAGCAGGGGAGTTGAGAAATGCCATTTTTTCAAAGCATCTTCTCATTTTTCATATTCCGTGTGCCTAATCTGCTCCCCTAGGAGCTCAGGCACTTTTACAAGCCTGTTTCCGACCATATTTCACTCTAAAGCAAACCTTGTTTTTCCGAAGATTGCTTCTTGTAAATGGGACCATAAATCCGGGGAGTCGGGTCGGATGGAGTGGAGCATGGACAAGGGAAGACATGAAAGAGGAGTAAACTAAACAAGGAAGATACCTCCTTGGGTGGGGTGGGAGGGATTCGGCAGGACCTCCAGGGAAGAAATGCCGGAGTGCTGGCCTGACCCCTGCAACCCACGAAGTCCAAACCAGCCTTTAAGGTTAGAGCGCAGGGAGCCACAGAATGCTCCTCCCCAAAGGGAGCGCCCCCCTACCTGGAAAAGCCTCAAGATGTTGGCTACCATGATGGAGACGGAGCTTCCCGAAGCCCCAATCACTCCAACTACTTTCTCTGGCTTGACGAAAACCGGGGGCTCGCCGTTGGTGCAGCGCACGTCGGAGGTGTCCTTCTGGATGAGCGCCTGGACGAAAGTGAGCGACTGTTCGAGCGCATAAGTGTCCCTGGAACAAGTGTCCAGGATCCGCGCGCCTAACGTTACATTGGGCAGCAGGTTGGGATCGCTGTTGATTTGGTCTAGGGCATAAAGCATAGCTTCCAGCCTGTGGATCCCGTTCTCCCTTTTGATGTCACCGCAGGGCACTCCGCTGGGACCCTTGGCGTGCACTGGGAACAGCCCCCCAAGGGTGACGTCCCCCTCGATCCGGATCGAGTGCGGGGCGTACATCTCCTGGCCGCGCGCCGCCGCCGCCAGCACGCACAGGAGCACCTCCAGCACGCAGCAGGGGAACTTCATCAAAGTCAGGACGCGGAGCAGCTTCCCCAGCTGGACCATGCCGCTCCTCCGGATGCTGCTGCGGTGGCGGCGGCGGCGCTGGAGGGAATGCTGGTGGGCTCTCCCAGGTCCGGGCTTCTCGAGGTGAGCTCCTTTGGGGGAAGCCCGGGGACTTCTGTAGGCACAGAGGGTGGGGAGCCGGAGGAGGTGCAGCTTAAGAAGGTAGGGGGTCCCAGGGCGCCAGCCAGCCTTGGGCACCTGGCGCTGTGGCTCTGCTGGCCCGCGCGCCGAGCTAGCGCTCCTGGCTTGCGGCTCGCGCTCTCCAACAGCCAAGCACTGGGGAGAGGGCAGGGATTGCTATCGCTTTAAATGGTCGTTGGGCTCCCTCTCCTCCTCCTCCTCCCACTCTCTCTCCCTCCCTTGCTTGCTATCCATCTCTCCCCACCCTTCCCAGCGCCAGCCCTCCCCACCGGTTTGCATCATCACGCAGGGAGGGGCTGCGTGCTGAGGTAAGGGGGGTGGGGGTGGAGGAATGGGTGGGTGGCCCGGGAGCAAGGAGGTTGCCTCTCCAGGGGAGTTTTGTGATCCCCAGGGAATCTATGGATTTCAAGATAGCTAAGCTTTTGTCCCCAACTCTGGGATAAAAGCCTCTGGTCCACCAACACCCATGCCCATGTTCTAGCTACCGCAGACCTACACTTGGGATGTGGTGGGGATACCGGGACTGACTGATCCATCCGGAGTCTGAGCCTTTGACTCTTAGCTCTTGCGGAAAGAGGAGTCCAGAAGTGGAGCAGTCAGTGAAGGAGGGCGGGAGGAGGGGAGACCCCAGCCTCTGTGACTAGCCCTCTTGTGTTAGCTTATGCTCAGAAAAATACAGGACATTCAGTAGCCTGATTCATGACTCCGGGGGCAGGAACCCTCTAGCTTGGAGGAAGGCTGAAGCCAAGAGGAAGTCCAAGGGATGGTACCTCAGCCTGGATCTTCCTAAGTGCCAATGCTGGCGAAATGGACCACCTTTCTCAGCAGGTCTGCAACAGAAATCTCGGATCCTGTCAGTGCCTTTTCTTTCTTTTGCAACAAGACAAGAAACAAACGAAAACTCCACCACTTTCCTCCCTAGCGCTGAAAGGTGTAAGGCTCCCTCCTACCTATTTCCAGAGATACTTCTGGGCTGGTGACAAGTTGTTTTTTTTCCCCCCTTAGGAAAGAGCAGGAAAGAGGTGAGGGTAGGAGGAAGAAAGGGGAGCTGCTGCAGAAGTTTCCACAAAAATGAGGGATGCTTTTTTCTCTTTCTCGGCTGGGAATTTGGGGAACAAAGCCAGGATGTTAAAGCAGGTTTTACTGTCTTGCTTCCTGGAGGCTACCCCGCTGAAACTTCACCCTTTAAAGCAACAAGTGGCCTTAGCTTTCTTATAGGGAAATTTAAAATTTCTCTGGGACCTTAACTCTATTGTTAATGATGTTTTCTCTGGAGTGTATAAAAGCTGTATTATACAGATTTGAGGTTGGAGAGGAAGCCCAAAGCAATACTGTGCTTTGTGTCGTTGATGGGAAAACTATGATTAGATATAACATACAATGTTGTTATACTGCCTCCACCAACAACTACTTGTGTGTCCTTGGCATTTCAGTGCCTCTGCCTGAATTTGAGTTTTCCCATTTGGAAAATGATGAGATTGAGTTGGATGCCCTCCAAGTTTTCTTTTAACGCAAATTCTTTGTTAAAATAGGCCATGTTCCTTTGGCTACGGTGCTCTTTTTAGGCCAATATTCTCTATTTCTTTATGCTTGGGAAACCAGCACAGAGAACTCCAAACCCCTTCACTAACATTTACTGTGAATGAAGACTTTATGGGTTAGGTCAGCCACTTCTGCTAAGTATGTATTCACGTAAGCTGAGACAGTCCCTCACTTTCTTTTGGGATTTATTCCTTTTTTTCAATGCAAATAGTTTGAGAATTGAGCCTTCTTCTTTGAATCTAGGTGTGGCTTATTAGTTCACCTGATTCTCTGCCATAGTGCTAAGTTCAACAAAACTCAACCAGAATCCTGCAGAACTCATCCTGGTAGGGCAGCCAAGATGGAGACTGGGGTGGGAGTGGGGCTATCACTGGACCTAGGAACATCTCTATGAATTAGAAAAAATTGGGCTCTTTGCTCAACAGAATTCATGTGTCTCTTCTTGAAAACTATTATGCTCTTCTGATTTTGGAAGTTCAAAATATTTTTCTGTCAGTTCCTTCAAAGCTATACCATGATTCATATGCAAATTACACACAAATTACAAATCAGTCACCCTCACGCTTGATGCCTTACTATACAAATGTATACCCAACATAACTTTATTTCATGATGGCTTCTGGTTTTTGCTGCAGGTCTGTATCTTTGAGGATGGCCCTTGTCCTATACACTATGGAACAGGGACTTTTTTGAATATGGACAGTGATGACATGAATGGGGAAGAATAAGAAGGAAAGTAGAGAGAAATTAGAGACAGAGACACCCATAGAGGAAAACGCACAGTGACAGACTAATAGAATGGCATTCCATTAAAGGAACATGAGTGCTACAGACCCAGGCATATCTGAAATATTCCTTCTGTTATTTTCCATTTACATGGTAGTTTCTTTCTATTGTTTGAAATAAAAAACAGTCTGTAGTTACTCTTCTGCTGTAATGCTCTAGATCAAACCACTGAATGAGATAAGTTGGATAAACAGTCTGTCAAGATATTATTGTCTAAATTGGAAGAAAAGAAAAAGCCAATGGAACAAACAAAAGGCATAGTAGAGGACCCAAGAAAAAGCATCCCTGATCCGAAACACCAGTAGCTTTGTCTGTCCTTCCTGAGATGGAAGTCTTTTTTTTTAATTTTACACTGTTTAGGAAGTTGGTACCAAGCAATACTCTGAGAGATGAATAACAAGTAATAATCAGTTTTCACCTGCACAGGTATTCATCCATGTCCTTCTCTCTTGTCACATCCCATGATAGTCCCACGAACATCTTTTAGCCATTTGTTAAAGGCTGCCTCAATTGATGTTCTTTTGTTGGCTAGATTTATATCAACCTGACACAAACCACAGTCACTGATGAGGAGGGAGCCTCAGCTAAGAGATTTTCTCCGTAAGATTGGGCTGTGGGAAAACCTGCAAAACATTTTCTTAATTAGTGATTGGTATGGGAGTGCCAAGCCAATTGTGGGTAGGGCTACTCCATGAGGTGGTCCTGGATTCTGTTAGAAAGTAAGCTGAGCAATTCATATGTAACAAGTCAGTAAGCAGCATCCCTCCAAATCCTCTGCATCAGCTCCTGTCTCCAGCTTTCTGCATTGTTTTGTTACTGACTTCCTTCAGTGGTGGACTATAAAGTAGAAGCATAAGGCATCTTTGTAAGCCAGCAGTATATCCCTTGTAGTACAGCTATTTGTGATTGTGTCTCATTTTCCCTGCCAAACTGTAAGATCTTTAAGGGTATAAACTGGGGTATTATCACTTCATCCAGGACAGTGTTTTCAATGGTGTTTGTATCTAAGATTCACTCATATGTTGTGTGAATCAAAACTGGTTCCTTTACTCTTCTGTCTTTACCTGGCAGTGACGAGAATCTAAAACAGAGAAGAAATACAGGTACATAAATTTCTCAGCTCTTAGTCACTATGCATGGTTTCTGAAACATAATTTATTATCCATTACCCAAATTTATGATCTTGTTATTATTGTCATATATATTCCTCCATCCTCCAATGTGTTTCATGTCCCTCTCCCAAATTCATCATCTCTTCTTTAATTGTTATTATTATTGTGACATTTATATATGTATGTAAATATCCTGTTAAATGCATACAAATACACACACACACACACACACACACACACACACACATATATATATATATATATATATATATATATATATATATATATATATATATATTGCTTGTGTGCTCTAGTGCCCAGGGTTGAACATTTGGTATTTGATAACCTATTAAGGGGCTCATTTTTGGAGAAATCTGATTCTCCCTTTCTCAGTGGTCATTGGCCACCTGTAACTCTTCATGTAGGGGTAGAGCTATGTGGAATTTTCTCTTTTCTTTGAAATACTCTTTAATAGAAAAAAAAATATAGAAGTCTGAAACCACCTAACCTAAACTTAAGGCACTTCACCAACTTTCATTAAAACTTCGATTGGTTCTTCTGGAGTTAAGACCTCTCATTCTCACATTAATCACTGATCCTACTGCCATAGACTACCTGAAGGAGGGGCAAGACACTGAGGTCCTTCCTGTAGCTAGACCCTAGAATACCTGAACTACATAGAAAGTGAAGCATGTTTCCGGAGAAACTACCAATGATCCTGAGCCTGCAGAATCACTACGCATTTAGAACCCATAGCATCACATTCATTTTTCCATATTTAGCCACAGTCGGGAATCCACCCCTTTATATTAGGTGCTTTATTTTGCCTTGAGTTTATAAACTGAAATATCATTGTAGAAATAGTTCAGGTAGAAATGGAATAACATAGTTACTCCATCCTAAGGATAAGCTTAGCAAAAGGAGGAAAATGTAGTTTTGGCCATTGAAATGATACATTATAGACCATGTCTGCAGGCTTGATTCTGCCTAAGTATCCATCTTTACTTAGAAAAAATATTCATTTGAATATAAGAGCTACATCCTATTTTTAATTGTTGTTAAATTTTGTTCTCTAACTCAACTCCGTTTTCATAGATTTAAAATTTTTATTTTATGTATTCAAGTGTTACCTTCTTGTATGTATGTGCACTATGTGAGTGCGGTGTCCACAAAGGCATGGCTCAACAGTTAAAAGCACTTCCTGACCTTCCAGGGAATCTGTGTTAGTTTCTAAGCACCCAGATGGTGACTCACAACCATCTGTAGCTTCAGTTCCATGAATTCAGGTTACTTTGTCTGAACTTCCTTAGACTCAGACACATGGTGAACATATCTACACACATGTAGAACACTCAGATTCACAAACTAAAATATATTAAAGTTATTTCAATATTAATAATTATTTTATTACATTTGTATTGAGTCTGAATGTTTTCTATGAATGAGTATTACCACGAACTTCTGATTTTCAAAATGTTTTTAGTACATATTAACTTAATCCTTAAGATATGTATATTTAACATATTACATTCCTGTTATCAACATTTTTATTGACCAGGGGAAAGACTGAATAGAGAATAGGTATTATTTTATTTATTTTGCTATTTTAGTTTGCTTTCTGATTTATGTACACTCCATGCAAATTGAGTGTTTTTTGTCTGGACTTAAGATGTTCCACAAGCACACACTCTCTCTTATCCAACATACTTATTTCACAGATCTTTCTTGTTGGATCTTTCAACTGTCATGGATCGATCTGGGTATACAGGCTTTGAAACCAAAACCAGCATCTAACTCCAGAACTAAAGGAGACCTCAGTAACGTGTTTCACTTCTTTCACTGAAGAGGGAGAACATTTTTCACCTGCCCTTTGGATGAGAGCATAAGATGGATTTAGAGAAAATCAAATATAAACATGAATCTTTGGGTAAGCCTCCCCTTTCCTATTATATTTTGTTTTCGTTTAAAAGTGTATCTGTTGGAGAAGCCACTTGTTGGTTTCCTGCTGCCCTACTAACTTAGACCCAAAATAATTACACAGAAAATTATTAATTAAATCACTGCTTGACCCATTAGCTCTAGCTTCTTGTTGGTTACCTCTTATATTAATTTAACCCATTTCTATTAATCTGAATATTACCACGTGGCTGTGGCTTCCCAGGTAAAGTTCACAGCGTCTATCTCTGGTGGCTCAATGGCTTCTCCTAACTCTGCCTTCCTCTTCCCATGCTACAGGCCAAGCCAATTTTCTTTATTCATTAACCAATAACAATCAACACACAGACAGAAGGATCTACACACCATGTATCCCATCCATAGATGTGACTCAAAGAGCAAAATGACTTTTTACTTGCCAAGCAAAAATTCTTCCCTGCATTGGTTTCTAGACAAACCAGTTGGCAAGCATTTATATTCCACCTATTCCTCAAATCTTTTCCATGTACCCTTAAGTTGGTAAAGGATGGAAAATCACTTCTCTTCATTTACTAACATTGTAAACCACTCTTTGGAAAAAGTATCTCTTTCAGTCTCTTACCTGAGTAAAGCTCTTAAGTTGAGATTGGGGAAGAACTTGGATTTTGATGTAATGAAACTCAAAAAAGGAAGGCATCTTAGCTATTTATGTATGAAGATATAGACATGAGATTTCCAGGAGCAGATACTTCTGCAATATGAACAAAAAATCAGAAAATTAAATGAAACGACAGAGGGAAGTGGATTAAAGTGTGGAGCAGGAGTAGAGCCTCAGCAAGGCCATCTGAGATGCTAAGTCTAGCCATGCTTCCAGTTCCATTTACTGCTGAGCATTCCACCTTCCTATCCACTAACTTCCATCTGTTTTTTTATTTTGTTTGTTTGTTTTATTTTTTTTTTGGATGCAGGGCTTCATGTATCTCAGGTTTGCCTTGAACTTGCTGTATTGGAGACAATGATATTGAACTCCTGATTCTCCTCCTTCTGCTTTCTAAGTAATGCAATTACAGACACACTTCACCACCTTTGGCTGTCCCATCCTTTTGAAAAGCTAGTTTGAGTTGGCTCTCTCATTATCAAGGGTGTTAATTTAGACAGTTAGAACTTAAAGATAGGCAGATAATTAAATGTGTAAGAAGATACTGCTTATTAGATTTCTGTGAGAATGACTCATTGAATCTATAACTTGGTGATAATAGAGTGCAGTGGCCTGAAAGTTAGCTCTCCATATGACTACTGACCTTGAGAATATAATGGCAAGCAGCAAATGATCATTTTAGGAGAAATAAAATGAAAACATAGTGAGAACTAAGTATAGGTGATAAGTCTTTAAATGGTATGAAGAATGCAATGTATTATGCTCATCCATGAACAGATAGATGCATAGCAATAGAATAGGTGTGTACACGTGTCTTCCTGCTGTGTGTGTGTGTGTGTGTGTGTGTGTGTGTGTGTGTGTGTGTGTGTG